CAGAATACACCATTATTCCTGGAGCAAGGGGACATAGCAGCTTAGAGAGGAGACTCCCTGTATTATGGGAGACAATTTTTCATCCATCTTCCTAGTTTCAGTTGAGTGCAGGGCTTTCCATCGGGCCCCCTCCTGTCGTAGAGTAAGGCCAGGTGCCATACAACTGCTTGGCCGTAGTTTAGAGTTGGCTCCTTAGCCACAGAGGGAGCTACCACCATGCCTCCTGTCACCTGTCCCTCCAGTTCAGTGTCATCCTGCGGCACTAGGGAGGGATGTGAGAAGCTGACGATATGCTGGTCTTGCTTTTGCTGTCAGTGTGAGTAATGAGCTGTCTGGATCCTTGCAACTTGTTTCCTTACCAGCTGAGTCTGTGGAAGTGTGACAGGCCCACTCAGTGGCTGCTGTAGTAGATGCTTGTGGCCCTGTTAGCCACCATGCTGCACTTAGGGACTGCTTGACCACTTGACCGCTTTGGCACTTAATGTGGGGCTGATAAGGTCACAACCCTTTTTTTGGAGAAGAGACAGGGATCTTAATGTGGGCTGTCAAGTCAAGTATGGGCTAGAACTCTGGTGGACTTAGTGTCCACTAAGTGTCCACTTACTGCTGAGTTGTTTGGTGACATCAGAGACAAGTGGTCTCTGACGATTGTTCCTGGTCCCCAGTGAGCTCCATTGGTGTTTAGCGTTGGAAATCAAAGAGGGTCTTACAGAGTTAAAGAAAGCATATGCTGGTTATTGCTCACCCTCCTACTGTGGCTACAGATAGAACACTATCTGGTGAGTAAGGGCAGTCTGCCACTCAGAAATGGGCTGAGATCCACTCTTACAATGAGTAAGAAAGGAGGGAAATTAGAGACAGACTTGGGCAAAAGTCCAATGAAACCATAGAAGCATGGCTTATCCGACTAGCAAAGGCGAGTACTATGCAAATTCTGATGTAAGATGACAAGGAATGGAAGTCATTTGGGTGTTAACAACTGACCCCGTGCTCCAAGCCACTTTGGCCACAACCCTTCTGGTCAGTGAAGTGGATACAGAGGAGGAAAATATACGGACAAATCAGGGCTTGTTGCAGTGGGTCTTTACAGCTATAATGAAACCATGACCTGTCCAAGATAAATTCCTGTCCTCTGATAGGCACCCTTGGACAATAATGGGAGAGTCTATCACTTCCTTTTAGTCCCCTGTGACCTCAGTCTGGATTCATATGGAGATCATGCATGCCCAGATGATGAAACAGTCACCCAAAGTCAGACTGAACATTTGCTTGACACCAGCAGCCTATGGCTGAAACCAAATCTTCTCTTGCTCTTCGGGGATGTCTCTGGGAGACTCTTCAGCTACTGCGCAATCATTTCCCCAGAATGGAAACCTTGGCAAAGGTCAAGGTAATGCACTACAGGCCAAGGTAGGGGAAGAAACCAGCCATAAGGTCGTGTGGGCTTGGCTACTACGCCAGGGGTCCCAAAAGAGGAAAGTGATAGTCTTTCCATGAAGAAAAATTGTCTCTTGTTATTGGGCTCTGGGAAGGCCATGGGGCTTAAGAGATTTGGGCTTTAACTGGGTTATTTTTGGCATTTCCTGGGGACCAAAAAGAGGAGCACCAAGAGAGCCCCAAACTCCTGTAGAAGCATGGGGTTTGTTCTGTTTACTCTTTGACCCAACACTTTCAGCGCTACCCCTGAACCCCTTCAGAGACAAACTGGACAAACTAGGTTAGAGGCCAAGGTCCCTCCATCCCCAGGGGAGACCAGAGGCCCTATGCAGTGTGCTGGGAACTAACAGCAACCATGGTTGCCAAACCTCAGCCCTCCTGAACATGGTGGCATAGGCCACTGGGATACTGGGATGTGCCCAGAGACATGGCTGAAAACTCACTCTTACTAGATTTGGAAATAGCTCTCAAATTGGACAACAGACTGAGGTAGTTTGGGGGTGGGACCTTTTAATTTTTTTTTTTTTTTTTTTTTGGCCACACCGTGTGGCATGCGGGATCTTAGTTCCCCGACCAGGGATTGAACCCATGCCCCCTGCAGTGGAAGTGCAGAGTCCTAACCACTGGACTGCCAGGGAAGTCCCCAGGTGAGACTTTTTAAGCTAATACACACCCAAGTGGTTGTAAATAACATTGTTGAATGTATTGTGGGAATAGATGTTTGAAGTATGTTTAAGACTTCTTTTGATTGTAAGGGATGTTCCCAACGGAGAAGTGTCATGATTAGGATGGTGGTAATTAGGACAGGGACAACTGGTCACCTCTCCTGACCTAGCCAAGTGGTTACCAAGAAGCAGAGGGCTATGGATGGGGAAGTGGGGGGGGTGCCACAGTCTTGATCAAGGAACTAGTGGATTTAGGGGTGCTCAAGGAAATGAGATCTTTTTTTAATAAAGGAAATGTAATATTTAAATTAATTAATTTATTAATTTTTGGCTGCCTTGGGTCTTCGTTGCTGCACGCGGGCTTTCTCTAGCTGCGGCGAGCAGGGCTATTCTTCATTCTGGTGCACAGGCTTCTCATTGCGGTGGCTTCTCTTGTTGCAGAGCACGGGCTCTAGGCACGCGGGCTTCAGTAGTTGTGGCACTCGGGCTCAGTAGTTGTGACTCGCAGGCTCTAGAGCGCAGGCTCAGTAGTTGTGGCGCACGGGCTTAGTTGCTCCGCAGCATGTGGGATCCTCCTGGAGCAGGGCTCAAACCCGTGTTCCCTGCATTGGCAGGTGGATTCTTACCTACTGCGCCACCAGGGAAGCCCCACAAGGCCACTTCTCATCCGTCTTCCTAGTTTCAGTTAAGTGTAGTCCTTTCCACCTTGCCCCACCCTCCTCCCCCCACTTAGAGTGTAGCTGCAGGTCATAAAGTTGTCTGACTGCAGTTGAGTTGGCTTCTCAGCCACAGACAGACCTACCATCGTGCTGCCTGTCATCTGGTCCCTCTGGTTCAGTGCTGTCCTGTGACGAGGGAAAGCCGACACCATGCTGGTCTTGCATTTGCTGTCTGTGTGAGTAATAGCCGTCTGGATCCACTGGGGCTTGTCATCCTCTTACTGGCTGGGTCTCATGGAAGTGTGGTAGGCACACCTGGCAGCTGCACAGTGATTTGTGCAAAAGGATTTGTGGCCTTGTTAGCTACCAGGCTGCACTTAGGGAATGCTTGACCTCTTGACAGAGGGGAACTTTTTGGAGTGATGAGAAAGTGATATTTTGATCTGAGTGGTGATTATACTTGTATATCCATTTATATACATGAGCAGCACATTTAAGACTTGTGCCATATACTGTAAGTTGTATCTCAGTTAAAAAAAAAAAAAAGAACCACCAGAGAATCAATAATAGCTCTTGAAAATAAGATTATGATTGCCAAAATGGAAAATTCAGTAGACAGGTCGGAAGATAAATTTCCCACAACACAGGACAAAACACAGAGACACAGAGGATGACGAACCCAGCCTAGGTCTACCACCTTAGTAACAGGCATGCTAGTTGGCAAATAAACCTAGAAAAATGTTTCTGATGGTGATAAAAGAAATGGGAGTTAAAACAATGAGATGGGTTTGTAAATCTGGTTAATCAACCAAAAAGTTGCTTAAGCAATTTTCAACAGTTTGTAATTGGCGGTGGAAACTGGCACAACCCTTTTGGGGAGCAACAGAATGCCAAGTATCATCAGTCATATCAGTCCTTAGCTTTGCCCCAGGTAAACTCACCGCTGAAAGTTTGTCCTAAGGTAATAGTTTAAAAAGAAGACATGTGGAATTCATGGAGATGTTCACTAGCGTGGTTTATTATGCTGCAAAATTATAAACAACCTAGATGTCCAGTAAAAGAACAAGCAAGAAAATTATAGGCCTTACAGGAGGCAAGCACGGAAAGGGGCCATGATTAACGCACGGTACCAACAGGAGGCAGCACCCCTTTGCCTGAGGAGCGTAACTGCATCTAATTAAGGATACCTACACCAGAACCGGGAGGGAGCTGGAAAATGTACTTCACCGTTCGGTTGGTGAAATGGAGGAGGAATGTTTCTACTACTGCTAATTAATGAGCTTACTCTAGGAAGACTCAGTAAAACCTCAAGTTGCGCGCCCCTCCTCGCGGACCCGCAGCTCTCCCAGGCCGGGTCCGGGCTGCGGCTGCGGCTGCGCACTGCGGACCCTCTGCCGGCGGCGGGGGCCACGGCGCAGACCGCACCGGAAGCGCCGGGCCGGCCCGCCGGAGCTGAGATAGGGACGCCAGTGGCCCGACTCGCCCGGCTCGGCGGGACGCACCGCAGGCGGAGGCGGGGCCGAGGCGAGGAGGCGGGGCTGGGGTGGCGCGGGGGCGCGGCGAGGCTGTCCCCGCCCCGCACGCCGCTCTGCCCGGCGGCCTCCAGCGTGGGGAACCGGCGCCGGCGGCCTGGCCTCTGTGGGAGCGACTGGTGGGCGGACGCCCGTCTTCGCCTGCGTCGCTGCCTCCGCGCGGGCCGCCCTACGCGGGGATGTGAGGGGCGCAGCTCGGCCGGTGGGGCCCGGAGCGGCGCGGAAGCCGGCCGCAGACGGTAACGCGCTGGGCGGGCGCGGGCAGGGCTCCGGTTGCCCCGGCCGAGGCCGGGCTTGAGCGGCAGGAGCGCGTGCGGCGCTTTGGAGTCGGAGGCGGCCCGAGCTCCCAAACGGGTCAGTTGCCGTTGCGGTCCCGGGGCCCGGCAGAGCCGGGGAGGGTCGAGGGCCGGGAGGGGGCTGGGCCGGCGAGCGGGCGAGTAGCCGAAGACCCGGCGGCAGGTGCCGGCCCCCCTCTGAGATCCAACTCTCTCTCCCCAGCTCCACCTACTTTGGCCTGGACTCAGCCTCCCAGGGCTAAAAATATTGCCCGGAGGCTCCTGAGCGGAATAAGATCGCGCTAAATAGGGCACAACGCTGCAGAGGCGACAGAGCTCCTCAGCCCGAGAGCTGGAGGAAGACTCCTGAGCTGCCGCTCCCGCCGCCGCTCAGCCGGCAGCTAGCTGTCTCCCTCCGCCCAGCAGGCAAGTGCGGGCCGCGGGCGGTGGCGGAGGACACTGATTCTCTGAAGTTGCCCCACAGCCGAACAGCTGTGCCTAGCTTTTCCCTACCCAGGTTATCTTTGACATCAATCACTGGTGGCTTCCAGGGGCTCCCCTAAATGCTCTGTAAGCAGAGGCTGAAAGTTACCCACTGCAGGAGTCAGAGCTAACAGGGAGAGGACTCTTTATGTTAGAAACATAAGCTGTGGCTTCTTTTTATATTCATTCTGCATTTCTGAATAAGAGACCAGCTGTGCCAGTCACTGTTTCTGGTGAGTACCAGTCTGATGCAAGCGGGCAGGGAGAAAGGCTTTCTTGTTAGTCTCTTGGGGCTTTGTCTATATTCTTTAAATCAAAATAGATACCAGTATATTCCTCTGAAATTAGAGGCACATGGCCAGGGAGCTTGGACACCCACGTCCTTTAACTGGCTGTGTCTTTCTTGTAGGCAAGCTCTGTGGGCAGCTGGTTATAATCAGGAAGTTGTATGGCGAACTCAGGAGTCACAGCTGGGAAGTTTTGTTTTCCGGGCGTGTTTTTTAATAGCATCTGCCTGGGAGAGAGCATCATCTCCACCCTAGGGGCAAAGCTGCTACCAGGACCAGGCAGGACCGGCCTCACATGTGCCTCTTACTAGTGCTTTCTGTGTCTCAGCCAAGAGAATACGATCCAGGTTGGGTCAGGATCCATAGCCAGTGTCGGGATTCGGTGCTTGGAAGCTTTCTTTTCTTTGGTGTTCTTCGGGAGCAGCCCTCAGGAACTCCTTGGGGCATTTGGTGGAAAGGCCACCAAAGGGATTTTTGCCTGCTGGAGCTACATGTGGTGTCCCTCCGGCCAGGTGTGTGTGGAGGCCATTATGAAGCTGAAAAAGCAGGTGACAGTGTGTGGGGCTGCCATCTTCTGTGTGGCTGTCTTCTCACTCTACCTCATGCTGGATCGAGTGCAGCATGATCCCACCCGACACCAGAACGGTGGGAACTTCCCCCGGGTGAGTCATGCCTGATTGCTGATCTCTTCATACACAAATCATCTGGGATCGGGTTATTGCCCCAGCTGGAAAGTCATGTCAGCCCAGGGCAAGAACATTCCTTCCCAATAGGCAGATTTTCTAGAAACTCAAAGCTGAAAGCAGTGATGGCAAAAAGAAAGGAGGGAGGGAAAATGGCAATATGTACTGCTGCTCTGTCCTCCTGAATTATTGGCAGACATTGCTAATGGATTGCAGCATCCCTTCCCACTAAGCCCCAGTGCAGTCCTTGTCAGCACAATGCTCCTGAGAGGCAACGCCGATTGTTGAGAATAGGCATGGGAGGTGAAATCTTTGCCATCCATAAGCTAGAGAGTGAGGGTACTCCCAACCCAAGTGGATTGCAGTCTTCAGTAGTGATTCACACCTCTTCCCTTATCTGACCAGAGCAATCCAGCCCTGTAGGCTCATGGTCCTGCCTTTGACTGGGGAGGGAAGGATCATAGTCAGGCCTCAGGTGGTGGGCCCCATGCAGAGATCCTTCTTGTGACTTAAGGAGCTGGGAGTGATTGCCTTTTGGTTTTTTCGGCAGAGTCAAATTTCTGTGCTGCAGAACCGCATTGAACAGCTGGAGCAGCTGTTGGAGGAGAATCATGAGATCATCAGCCACATCAAGGACTCTGTGCTGGAGCTGACGGCCAACGTGGAGGGCCCACCTGCCCTGCTGCCGTACTATATGTCCAATGGCTCCTGGGTGGTGCCACCAGAGCCCCGACCCAGCTTCTTCTCCATCTCCCCTCAAGACTGCCAATTTGCTTTGGGGGTCCGGGGCCAGAAGCCAGAGCTGCAGGTAAGAGTCAGAACTGGCAGGGACCCACAGTGGCCATGGCTGGGGCACTGAGCTGCTCTCCTGCCTGGCAGATGCTGACTGTATCAGAGGAGTTACCATTTGACAACGTGGATGGCGGCGTGTGGAAGCAAGGCTTTGACATCTCTTATAGCCCGCACGACTGGGACACTGAAGACCTGCAGGTGTTTGTGGTCCCTCACTCTCACAATGACCCAGGTGAGGGCCCAGCAGACCCTGGGAGCCAGGGTGTGGAGTGGGCTTTCTTTTTTACTTTTTTAAATTTTTGTTGGAGTATAGTTGATTTAAAATGTTGTATTAGTTTCTGCTGTACAGCAAAGTGAATCAGTTATACGTACACACATATACATTCTCTTTTAGAGTCTTTTCCCATGTAGGTGTTCTCAGAGTATTGAGTAGAGTTCCGTGTGCTGTACAGCACGTCCTTATTAGTTATCTGTTTTATGTATAGTAGTGTGTATATGTCAGTCCCAATCTCCCAATTTATCCCTCCCCCCTCTCCCCCCTGGTTACCATAAGTTTGTTTTCTATATCTGTGACTCTATTTCAGTTTTGTAAGTAAGTTCATTTGTACCATTTTTTTAGATTCCACATGTAAGTGATATCATATGGTATTTGTCTTTCTCTGTCTGACTTACTTCACTCAGTATGACAATCTCTAGGTCCATCCAGGTTGCTGCAAATGGGATTTCTTTTTTATGGCTGAGTAATATTCCTTTGTATATATGTACCACATCTTCTTTATCCACTCCTCTGCTGATGGACATTTAGGTTGCTTCCATGTCTTGGCTATTGTGAATAGTGCTGCAGTGAACATTGGGGTGCATGTATCTTTTTGAATTATGGTTTTCCCCGGATATATGCCTGGGAGTGGGATTGCTGGATCATATGGTAGTTCTATATTTAGTGTGGTTTTTTTTGCGGTACGTGGGCCTCTCACTGTTGTGGCCTCTCTCGTTGCGGGGCACAGGCTCCGGACGCGCAGGCTCAGCGGCCATGGCTCACGGGCCCAGCCGCTCCGCGGCATGTGGGATCTCCCCAGACCGGGGCACGAACCCGCGTCCCCTGCATCGGCAGGCGGACTCCCAACCACTGCGCCACCAGGGAAGCCCTATATTTAGTTTTTTAAGGCATCTCCATACTGTTCTCCGTAATGGTTGTACCAGTTTACATTCCCACTAACAGTGTAGGAGAGTTCCCTTTTCTCCACACCCTCTCCAGCATTTATTATTTGTAGATTTTTTGATGATGGCCATTCTTACCAGTGTGAGGTGTTACCTCATTGTAGTTTTGATTTGCGTTTCTCTACTAATTAATGATGTCGAGCATCTTTCATGTGCTTTTTGGCCATCTGTATGTCTTCTTTGGAGAAATGGCTATTTAGGTCTTCTGCCCATTTTTTCATTGGGTTCTTTTTTGATATTGAGCTCCATGAGCTGTTTGTATATTTTGGAGATTAATCCTTTGTCCGTTGCTTCATTTGCAAATATTTTCTCCCATTCTGAGGGTTGTCTTTTCGTCTTGTTTATGGTTTCCTTTGCTGTGCAAAAGCTTTTAAGTTTAATTAGGTCCCATTTGTTTATTTTTACTTTCATTACTCTAAGAGGTGGATCAAAAAAGATATTGTTGTGATTTATGTCAGAGTGTTCTGCCTATGTTTTACTCTAAGAGTTTTATAGTATCCAGCCTTACATTTAGGTCTTTAATCCATTTTGAGTTTATTTTTGTGTATGGTATTAGAGAGTGTTTTAATTTCATTCTTTTACATGTAGTTGTCCAGTTTTCCCAGCACCACTTATTGAAGAGACTGTCTTTTCTCCATTGTATATTCTTGCTTCCTTTGTCGTAGATTAGTTGACCATAGGTACATGGGTTTATCTTCGGACTTTCTATCCTGTTTTATTGATCTATATTTCTGGTTTTGTGCCAGTGCCATACTGTTTTCATTACTGTAGCTTTGTAATATAGTCAGAAGTCAGGGAGCCTGATTCCTCCAGGTCTGTTTTTCTTAAGATTGCTTTGTCTGGGGTGGGCTTCCTGATTGCAAAAGTAAGGGAGGGACAGTTGAAGAAGATGGTGGCATCCTCAGGGGACCCTATGTTGGCTTCCCAGGCTGGCTCAAGACCTTTGACAAGTACTACACAGAGCAGACACAGCACATTCTCAACAACATGGTGTCCAAGCTGCAAGAGGACCCCCGGCGGCGCTTCATCTGGGCGGAAGTCTCCTTCTTCGCCAAGTGGTGGGACAACATCAATGCCCAAAAGAGAGCAGCAGTCCGAAGGCCAGTGCCAGTCGGGGAGGCAGGAGGGCTATCCTCTGGGCCCTAGGATGGGTGTGAAGTCCTCTCCTGGAGCTGCAGGTGCCAAGGTGTCAGGGAGAGGCAGGGGGAACCTTGGCAGAGATGAGGAGTGATGGTAGAGGGGCCAGGAATGAGAAGGCAAGAACTGATTTGAGGGTCACTAGTGTTAGGAGAAATCAAAGTAGTGTGAGCACAGGGAAGAGAAAGCATAGGGCCTGGCCCCTGGAAGCGCAGACAGAGATCTAGGAATAAGCAGAGCCAGGACAGCATGGAGGTTGGCTGGAGAGAGAGGAGGGCGCATGTCTGTTGTCTTGGTCCTGGGTTTGGGTGAACTGGCTCAGTGAGACCAGTACGCACAGGTCCCGGCATCTGGTTGGCAGGACTGAGCAGAGGGTCTCTGCCCCAGACTGAGTGTGAGTCCTTAACTCCAGGCTGGTGGGAAACGGGCAGCTGGAGATTGCAACAGGAGGCTGGGTAATGCCGGATGAGGCCAACTCCCACTACTTTGCATTGATTGACCAGCTCATTGAGGGACACCAGTGGCTGGAGAAAAACCTCGGTGAGTCCGGGCTCAGCAGTGGGAGTCTGCCCCCATAGCTGGGCCCAGAGGACAGCAGGGGGCTCTAAGGCACAAGGATTGGCAGGGAGTGCTTCTTTCCTAGGCTAATTCCACCAGCGTGGGTGTGGTGTGATGGCAAGACGGGCTCTGGGGCCCCTGTGCCGGGAGACCAGGCCCTGAGGCATTCAGACCTCTGGCTTCCATGCCTCTGCCCAGGTGCAACCCCGCGCTCAGGCTGGGCAGTGGACCCCTTTGGATACAGCCCCACCATGCCTTACCTGCTGCGCCGTGCCAACCTGACCAGCATGCTGATTCAGAGGGTACATTATGCTATCAAGAAGCACTTTGCTGCCACCCACAGCCTGGAGTTCATGTGGAGGCAGACCTGGGGTAAGGCCAGGTAGGGTGGAGGGGGGTCACAGCAGTGGTTCCCACTGGGAAAGGGCAGGGATATCAGAAATAAGACCCATCTGTCCTTTAGAGCAGACCAACAAACACTGGTGCAGACCGTCAGAAGCTCTCTCCTTCAGGTTAGGTGGGGATCACATTGATCTCTGGCCTCTGTGGAGCCTGCTGTCTGTCTCCTGGAGGAGCTGTGGGCTCCAGAGCCCTCCCTGTGTCCTGACCATTGGCCTGCATGTCCTCTGCAGCCTTAAGTCTAGTTCACGCCTTTAGCTGGAGCAGATCCCCTCCCAGCCCCGGCATCCCTGTGCCCAGCTCCAGGGGCTGACTGCTTGGTGTATTTTCTATAGATTCGGACTCCAGCACAGACATCTTCTGCCACATGATGCCTTTCTACAGCTATGACGTCCCCCATACATGTGGCCCGGATCCCAAGATCTGCTGCCAGTTTGATTTCAAGCGCTTGCCCGGGGGGCGCATCAACTGCCCTTGGAAGGTGCCACCCCGGGCTATCACAGAGACAAATGTGGCCGAGAGGTACTTGCTCCCAGACCTGGACTAGGTGTGGTGGTGTCATTTTCACTCTGCAGAGGAGTCAGGAGACCTGGCTTCTGGTCTGGGCTCTGCTGCACGGGGGCTTCAGGTTCCACATTCATAAAATGGGGGTGGGCTCGGTTGGTGAGTTCAGGCCCACAGCCCTTGCAGTGACAGTTCCTTTACTGTGTTTTCCTGGAAAACTAGAGTGAGTGGCTCTAAGGAACCACCTTTTCCAGAATGGTTTTATTTTCCCAAATGAGTATGTTTTCCAGTGTCCTAACAAACTGTCGGAGCCAGTGGACTGACTGAGGCAAGTAATTCTCAGATTAGATCCAGTGCCTTACAACCTTCAGTCTGGTATGCCTGCATTAAGCTCGGGCCTCCTGCCTTGACTTGAAGTCACCCGGGATCCTCAGTGCTCTGTGCACCCAGAATCCCATTCAGATGCACATTCTGTCCCACCCAACAGCCTCCAGCCTCTGAGAAAACAGACCTGTTCCCTTTGAGAGAATCCTTAGGGACCCCAAAAGATGTTGCTGAAATCAGCTCCCCTGGGAAAAGGTGGATTAAGAGAGAGCTAAACAATTATTTAGCCAGAACTGGACTGGCCTTAAGAATATAACAAGTTGAACGGGTTTTCATGTTGCAATCCTCCGATTTCCATGATGTCCAAGAGGTGAAACATGTGACCAGAAGGGAAAGAAAGTGGTCTTTTGTTTCCAGACTCCAGAAATCTAAATGCTGATTCCAAGCAAGAATCTAGGGCTTTTAAGGCATGCTTTTTCTGAAAGCAGCAGCTGTGATCTACAGATGCCAGGCCAGGTTTACAGAGAGCAAGTCATGGGAGATAACCTCATTTTCTCCTTTAAATTTATTTTATTTATTTTATTTTTGGCTGTGTTGGGTCTTCCTTGCTGTGCGCGGGCTTTTCTCTGGTTGTCGTGAGCAGGGGCTACTCTTCGTTGCGGTGCGCGGGCTTTTCACTGCGGTGGCTTCTCTTGTCACAGAGCACAGGCTCTAGGTGCGCAGGCTTCAGTAGTTGTGGCACGGGGGCTCAGTAGTTGTGGCTCACGGGCTCTAGAGCACAGGCTCAGTAGTTGTGGCACACGGGCTTAGTTGCTCCGTGGCATGTGGGATCTTCCCGGACCAGGGATTGAACCCGTGTCCCCTGCATTGGCAGGTGGATTCTTAACCACTGCGCCACCAGGGAAGCTCTCGTTTTCTCCTTTAAAGGGCTTACAAGGATGATAAATTAGGGGAAGGTGGTATTTGAGGAGTCCTTTCTTGAGAGCAAAATGGAACAGAACAAGCTGCACCAGCATGGCTAAGTACATTAGTGGCTGGTTGAACTGTAACACCCATAACATGCCAATTACCAGGCTGGTCTAAAAAGAGAAAGAGGCTTTAATGCCACAGGTCTCTGTTTTTCTGTTGATTACATTAATGACTTGGATAAAAAAGGAAATAATAAATGTTTATGTAGAACAGTGCCAGGCACTGTTCTAAGTGTTTAACAAATATTAATTCACTCAGTTCATTGTAATTCTCATAATACGATGACAGTAGGTACTGATGTTTTTCTCATTTTATAGAAACTGAGGCCCAGAGAGGTTAAGTAAGTTGTCCAGGGTCACACAGCTAGTGCATACAGAGCTAGTGTTGGTGTAGTCCGGTCCCCAAGTCCAGGCTCTTCAGTCTAGGGCTGTGCTGCATCACTAACTGGTGGCAAACAAAGCTGGAGTGTCAGAGTCAGGATCCCAAAAGATCTCAGTAGGTTGGGACGTGGGTTGAACCTAACCAGATAAGATTAGATAAATGTAAGGTTCTACCCTTAGCTTCAGCAGACAGAATAGGAAAGTTCAGGATGAGAAAATATCTTGCTGGGCCGCATGCATAGAAAATATGATCACTGATGTCAGCACGGTGGGGTGACAGTGGGGGCCGCCAGACATGCCTGTATAAGCACACACGGCAGCTCTGGCCAGACTAGGGGGTGTGGCCTGCCTTCCCCCGAACTCCCATATTCAGCGCTGGGCCCCGCACTCTGGGATCCTGGCAGACGGGCTACTCAAGAGAACTGCTGGTGACTGGATTCTCAGCTGCTATGTAGGGACCAAATAGGGGGGCTGGGATTGCAGAGGCTGACGAGAAAGCACAGGGGAATGCTTACACATCTTGGATATGTCTGAGGGACCATCATGGGGAAGGAGGACTGGTTTGTTCTTTGTGGTATCCAAGGGCAGAACTGGGGCCAGGGAATTGAAGCCATGCATCAGGAAGAACTCTCTAGTTGTTTGGAGAACACTGGGCTCCCTGGGACTGGGTTTCATCCCATGAGGTATCTACCCCCAAGCTGAGTGACTTTGTGACGAGGATGTATCAGAGGGCTCCTCTCAGGCTGGCTCTGCTCAGGATCCTATAATGTGAGACTCCATGTGGGGCCCGTACCCCTGCCCACCTGCAGGGCAGGCCTGCTCCTGGACCAGTACAGGAAGAAGTCCCGGCTCTTCCGAAGCAACGTCCTCCTGGTGCCGCTGGGCGATGACTTCCGATATGACAAGCCCCAGGAGTGGGATGCCCAGTTCTTCAACTACCAGCGGCTCTTCGACTTCCTTAACAGCAAGCCTGATCTCCACGTGCAGGTGTGAAGGGACACTCACCGGGGAGGGGGCCTCAGTGGTGCTGCAGCCCAGCCCTTTCTGTGAGGTTTCATGCTCCCCGATACTGCTCCAAAGCAGGGGTTCATTCCCAACTCTGGGCACGGTTTCCCTTTTATGTCACAGTTCTTTCCCAGGTTCCTCAGCTTCTCGAGGCCCAGAAGGTAGGACGTGGTGACTACGCTCTGCATAGGCAAACATCCTTGCCCCTAGCCTCCACTGCAGCACTGGGGGGGCCGCAATTCCCAGAAGACTCTGGAACTGATGGAAGCGGTTTTTGGTGGTCCCCACAGGCCCAGTTTGGCACCCTCTCCGACTATTTTGATGCTCTATACAAGAGGACAGGGGTGGAGCCAGGGGCCCAGCCTCCAGGGTTTCCTGTGCTGAGCGGGGATTTCTTCTCCTACGCGGACCGGGAGGACCATTACTGGACAGGCTATTACACTTCACGGCCTTTCTACAAGAGCTTGGACCGCGTCCTGGAAGCGCACCTGCGGTGAGACCTGCCCCCCCTTCCAGGCTGGAGGGATAGAGTAAGCCTTTGAGGTTTAAGGAGGGGCTGGATTGGCTCAGAAGGGACTAGAAGGGCATGGAGACCAAGACAAGTGGAGAAGGGGTGAAAGGAAGAGGAGTGGGCCTTGCAGAGTGAGGGTGGGCCCTAGGGAGCTGTATGGCAGGAGGCTGACTTCTCTCTCTGGGCAGGGGGGCAGAGATTCTGTACAGCCTGGCTGTGGCTCATGCCCGGCGCTCTGGAGTGGCCAGCCAGTACCCGCTCTCAAACTTCGCCCTTCTGACGGAAGCTCGGCGCACACTGGGACTCTTCCAGCACCACGACGCTATCACTGGCACTGCCAAGGAGGCAGTTGTTGTGGACTATGGGATCAGGTGGGAGCCCTCTCCTCTTCCCCATCAGCTCCATGCCTTGACCCGCTGTCCCAAAAGGGAGGATGCACCGGGCAGTCAGTGGACAGGCCTGCCAAGGGCTCGCCCTGTTGGCAGGTGGACAGTGTCTCGGTGGTCACCTCTCCCATGGTCCCTCTCCTGCCCGCCCTCCCAGGCTTCTGCGCTCCCTTGTCAACCTGAAGCAGGTCATCATTAACGCAGCTCACTATCTGGTGCTGGGGGACAAGAAAAGCTACCGCTTTGACCCTGAGTCACCCTTCCTGCAAATGGTGAGCCCCGCTCCTGCACCTGCTCAGGGGGACCCTCTGGTGTGCAGTCCTGTGCCGAGAACTGTGGTGCGAGGGCATTGTCCTTCTTTTCCTTCCCGGTCCTGGAGTGAAAGCTCTGTGCCTGGGGCAGCTGCTGGTCCCCATCTGGGACACGTTTGGGGGGTGGGGGGAGGCAAGACTCCGAGTCAGGCCAAGCCCCATGATAGTTCTTTCTTCCCACCCACTTCATTCCAGGATGACACCCGCTTAAATCACGATGCCCTACCAGAGCGCACAGTGATCCAGCTGGATTCCTCACCCAGGTGAGCCGGGCTGGGCCAGGCGCAGAGGCAAAGCCCCTTCCTGGCTCTGGGCACCCTCCCACCCCCACCCTGCCGAACCACTGAGGGATTCTTGGCCTGGCCACTGTTCCTGCTTCCACTGCCCCCAGAGCAGTGGCCTCCTGGATGAGCCTACTTTCTGCTCACAGGTATGTGGTGCTGTTCAACCCACTGGAGCAGGAACGGCTCAGCATGGTGTCCCTTCTGGTCAGCTCACCCCGGGTGCGGGTCCTTACAGAGGAGGGTCAGCCCCTGGCTGTGCAGGTCAGCGCGCATTGGAGCTCTGCCACTGACATGGTCCCTGACGTCTACCAGGTGAGGCGGGGGCTTGGCAGGTGGGGCCCGGCCTCGGCCCTCTGTGCTGATCCTTGGCCTCTCCCCGGAGCCTCACACTGCCCACGGACACTGGCTTCCCACCCTCCTGCTTGCAGCCCTCTTACTCCCCAGGTTGGGGACCAGAGTCTTGGGGAGGGGGGTTGCCCAGAAGACAGTCACTCCTGGGCTTTGAGTCTGTCCTTGAAAGGAAGGGGAAGTTTGGTATAGTATGATAATAGTAAAAATGGCAGTTATGCTGCCCCATCGTTTGTTCATTCAACAAATATTTATTGAAAGCTTAACGTGTGTTTACCATCTCATAGTTTTCCAGATATCATTTGAGACTCATGAAAGTCTGACCAGGGGCAAGTAACATCACCTGTGCTTTGGGCGGAGGGCACCGAGGCCCCAGTGGGTGCAGGGACTTGCTCAGGCTCTCAGGGCCAGAACTGCAGGCCTGCATCCAAGACTGACACCCATGCCGTGGCCCACGCTTCCTCACCCTTCCCGTGCCCGCAGGTGTCTGTGCCCGTCCGCCTGCCGGCGCTGGGCCTGGGCGTGCTGCAGCTGCAGCTGGGTCTGGACGGGCCCCGCACCCTGCCCTCCTCCGTGCGTGTCTACCTGCATGGGCGGCAGCTGTCCGTCAGCAGGCACGAGGCGTTCCCTCTACGCGTCATTGACTCTGGCACCAGCGACTTCGCCCTCAGCAACCGCTATATGCAGGTCTGGTTCTCAGGCCTCACTGGGCTCCTCAAGGTAAAGGGCCAGGGGCTGGGAGCCGGAGGAGGGCGCGCATGTCGGGGGGGTCGTGCAAGCTGCCTCCGGACCATGAGTGCGCTGCTACCTGACTCATGGTGGACCCGGGAGCGGGCCGTCTGGGCCCTGAGCTGACAGCACAGGGAAGCAGGGCTGGGCTCCCTCCCAGGGGCGGGCCTGACACGCGGGTGTGGGGCCAGGGGTCAGGGCTGTGTCTCTCGGCAGAGCATCCGAAGGGTGGACGAGGAGCAGGAGCAGCGGGTGGGCATGGAGTTCCTCATCTATGGCACCCGCTCGTCCAAAGACAAGAGTGGAGCCTACCTCTTCCTGCCTGATGGCGAGGCCAAGGTAACTAGAGACACCTTGCAAACCCCAGCAGGCCCTGGAGGCCTCAGGAGCGGAGGGCAGGAAGAAGGGTACGGGCCTTCGTCCAGGGCGACCCTGCCTGCCAGGGTGCCTCGCCTGCACTGCCCCTGCGGGGGGTGGGAGACTGAGGAACGTTGCCTGGGAGCCTGGGCCCGGCTCGGCCAGGGGTCTCAGCCCAGAGCCTGCTGGGAACAAGTCCTCCTGCCTGACCGCGGGCCAGCATCTCCCTGCTTTGCTCTCTGTGCCGTGGGTTCAGCGGCCACCTGCTCTTTCCCCAGCCCTACGTCCCCAAGGACCCTCCCGTGCTGCGCATCACGGAAGGCCCTTTCTTCTCAGAGGTGGTGGCCTACTATGAGCACGTTCACCAGGTAGTCCGGCTTTATAACCTACCAGGTGAGCCCTGCAGGCGAGGAAGGTAGGGAAGGAGGTGCGGGCTCCGTGGGCTGTGATGTGCTTGCTCTTCTGCCTGTTGTCTAGTCATGCATCTGTTCCCAACAGACGTATCATTTGAGATGGGTCTGATTCTTAACTCTCTTGGAGTAGAGCTTGGCCAGAAATGCTGGGAATTGCCTGGGGCTTGGGCACAGCCTCTCCCAGCCCAGTCTCTCAGGCTGTGGCTCACGCCGCTCAACCTCTCCCTTTGTCCTGTGCCCAGGGGTGGAGGGGCTGTCTCTGGACGTGTCATCCCTGGTGGACATCCGGGACTGCGTCAACAAGGAGCTGGCCCTGCGCCTCCACACAGACATTGACAGCCAGGGCACCTTCTTCACGGACCTCAATGGCTTTCAGGTGATGCCTCAGGCCTGGGGCCCTAGAGACCCCATGGAACAGAACTTGGACTGTGTTTACTGCCTGCATCACAGGCCCTGGCAGGTGATCTGCTCTGACAGAGCAGGAGGAATCGGAGGCAAGACTGATCGGGGCCCAAATGGTGCCCGGATTCTCTTGATCTGCTGGCCTTGCCCCCGCAGGTGCAGCCCCGGCGGTATCGGAAGAAGCTGCCCCTGCAGGCCAACTTCTACCCCATGCCGGTCATGGCCTGCATCCAGGACGCACAGAGCCGCCTCACGCTGCACGCTGCCCAGGCCCTCGGCGTCTCCAGCCTCCACGATGGTGAGGGGAGCAGGCGCTGTTCGGGGGGAGAGGGCAAGATCAAGAAGCCCATCCCTGCCACCGAGGCCTATCCTCTCTGTGGGCCTCTTCGTCTTTCCTGTCCATCAGTCACACACCAGCGGGAGATGAAAGGAAGGCAGACACATGCTGTCACCCTCTCCCCTGCTGGAGGCAGCTGTGGAGGTGACTGGGGGTGGGTGGCCTGTTGGATCCCCTCAAGAAGCATCAGGGTATTGAACGGTGATTCTTAGCTGAGGTGTGCAGCCACCTTCTCCTGACAGGGATGGCAGTAGGGACAGTTGGAAAAGTGTAGTCAGTGTTAAATGAAATGTTTAGCAAAGGAGAAAGATACGTCCTGCCTTCCTACCAATGGTCATTAAAAGAGAGAATGACAAAAAAAAAAAGAGAGAATGACATTCTTAAGAATCAAAACGAGGGCTTCCCTGGTGGTGCAGTGGTTAAGAATCCACCTGGCAATGCAGGGGACACGGGTTCGAGCCCCGGTCTGGGAAGATCCCACATGCCGCGGAGCAGCTAAGCCCGTGTGCTACAACTGCTGAGCCTGTGCTCTAGAGCCCGTGAGCCAGAACTGCTGAAGCCCGTGTGCCACAGCTACTGAAGCCTGCGTGCCTGGAGCCCGTGCTCCCAACAAGAGAAGCCACCACAATGAGAAGCCCGCGCACCGCAACAAAGAGTAGCCCCCACTCGATGCAACTAGAGAAAACCCATGCGCAGCAACGAACACCCAACGCAGCCAAACATAAATAAATTAAATAAATAAATTAAAAAAAAAAAAGAATCAAAACGAGGACATGAGGAGACTGACCTGGAGCTGTTCACACTGGGCCAGCCCAGGTGGCTCCCATAGTCTCAGGGTAAAGTGAACAGTTTGCACTTAGTGGCCTCTGAGGCCTTCAGGTCATCTGTCCTTGGGGCAGAGCCTTTGTGCAGGACTGAGCCAAGAGTGCCCAGTCTAGGCTCTGCGGGGCGGGTGGCAAGCACAGTGGGGACCTGACTCCCTGCTGGAAAGCATGAGGCTCTGCTGCCCCTTTGCCCAGTATCACTCTGGTGGTAAAACTCTTAACCCAGCCCAGCATCCTCCCTTGGTCTCTGCCCTTCTGGAAAACAGTGCGCTAACAGGCGATTGTTTTACATGCAAGGGGTCCGTTTTAGGATTTCGTGTGCCTTTCTGTGGTTGCTCAGGGTAAAGACTGAGGAACTACGTAAGTCAGAATCTGGGCTGGGGTGATGGGAGTGCAGATAGAGCCGTCTGTATGGGCTCCTCTCAAGAGATTCTTGAAAAAAACATGCTGGGAAAAATCCTCATTCCAACATATGTCAGCTTTGAGTGAGCCCCTTCCCCAGGCATATTTTTATTTTATTTTATTTTTAAATTTGGCTGCGTTGGGTCTTTGTTGCTGCACGCGGGCTTTCTCTAGCTGCGGCTAGCAGGGGCTACTCTTCGTCGCGGTGCACGGGCTTCTTATTGGGTGGTTTCTCTTGTTGCAGAGCACGGGCTCTAGGCACGCCAGTTTCAGTAGTTGTGGCACACGGGCTCAGTAGTTGTGGCACACGGGCTCAGTAGCTCCGCAGCCTGTGGGCTCTTCCTGGACCAGGGCTCAAACCCATGTCCCCTGCATTGGCAGGCAGATTCTTAACCACTGTGCCATGAGGAATGTCCCCTCAGACATATTTTTAAAAGAAAGGAAAGGTTGGGGACTTCCCTGGAGGTCCAGTGGTTAAGACTCCGTGCTTCCAATGCAGGGGGCCTGGGTTCAATTCCTGGTGGAGTAACTGAGATCCCACATGCTGTGTGCGGTGCAGCCAAAAAAAAAAAGCAAAGGATCCTCTGCTATCTCTCGTCTGCAGGGCAACCCCAAATAACACCTAATCTGAGCCTCTGCCTGATATGCCACCTGGCTGTCCTCTTGCTCCCTCCTTTTGACAGACGCGGCAGGCAGACCTGGAGTCTGCCCCCACGTAGAACCAGGGCCGGAAGCGTGTGTTCCAGTCACAACAAAATCCGCCCACCTGAGAAGACCTGGCCCGGGTCAGGGCCTTGCAGCTGCTGACGGCTGTTGTGCTCGCTGTTCACGTTGTTGTGTGTGGCCAGCCTAGAGACGCTTCTCTGCCTGGGCACCCGGGCCAGCCCCCACTCCTGAGCCGCGGAGCACGGGCAGTGAACCGCCAGGGTCACAGTCCTTCACTCAGCCCCTTCCAGCTCTAGGTTCCACGGCGGCTTTGTGCCCTGAGTGACTCAGCTTCCAGCCAGTTCCCTAGGCTCTTCCCTTGGGGCTTTGGCGGGCTGCTGCTTCCAGAGGTCGGTGTCTGCTTGGGGGTGAGACAGGCAGGCTGGGGGCTCACAGCTAACTTCCCTAGGCCAGCTGGAGGTGATCTTGGACCGGCGACTAATGCAGGACGACAACCGAGGCCTGGGCCAAGGGCTCAAGGACAACAAGAGAACCTGCAACCATTTCCGTCTCCTGTTGGAACGGCGAACCCTGGGCAGGGAGGTAAGTTCTGGGCCTCCCCCTAGGGAGCCAGGTCAGGCTAGGCCCCGTGGGTGGCCCTGGGGTTCCAGCCTACGGCTTGGGGAGCGTACTAGAGGTGGGCAAGGGTAGCAAGAGTAGGGCCTGATTCCCGGGTTGGCGGGGAAGCGAGTCTGATGCTTTGCTGCTCCATCTCATGCAGCCTGGCACCTCCCTCTCCACGGCACCCTGTCGCCTGTGCCCTCCTTGTGCTCATCTCCCACCTTCCCACCCCCGCCCCTGTGTCCTCTAACCTGCTCTGCTCCTGCCCTGCTCATCTCATGGCTTTCTTTGCCCCCACCAGCCTGGCTTTTTCTCCAAACTGGCAGCCATGTTTAGGGGCTTGATCTTTCACAGCAGCAGGAGCGGGCACCGAGAGGTAAGGGCCAGCGATGGGGTGTTGAACTAGTGTTAGTTATTTGTAGCTGGAGTTGGAGCTGGCGGATGGCAGAGCCCGCTGCTCCATCTCCCTGTCTGGGGCTCAGTCACTCACTCATCACATAGCTGCTGGGCACCCGCTATGCTGTAAGGACTGAGAGGGCCGCAAATGCATAAGATACTGCCTCAGAGCTCTAGGAATTGACTCGTGAGTATGGGTGGGGGCCAAGTTATGTGTGTGAAAATATAAGGTCGAAAAGGGGTATGTCCACTGGTCCTGAGGAGTGAGAGAACATAGTGGGCCAAGGGGATCAAGGACAGCTTCCTGGAGGAGATGTCATCCACGCACATCTTTGATGAATGGGGGTCTGCCCTACACACTTGAACCGAGGCACAGGGTGGGAGGCAGGAAGGAACGTGAATGGGAAGAGCCGTGAGTTCACTCAGCTAGACCAGAGCCGCCTGTGCAGTGTGATAGCCACTAGCCACCTGTGGCCACTTAAACGTATTAAGACAAAACACAATAACCAATTTGATTCTTCATTCAAACTGGCCACATTTCAAGTGGCTCAGTGGCCACAAGTGGTTAGTAGCTGCTGTGCTAGTGCAGATATAGCATATTTCCTTGATTGCAGAAAGTTCTAGTGGCCAGTGCTGGGCTGCCATGGAGGTAGGTTGAGGCAGACTGTAGTGGGCCTTCAGTGCCTGGCGAAGAGTCTGGACTTCCTCCTGGAGGCCAGTGAGGGATCTGAGCTGGGAGAACACTGTTGGGACTTTGCCCTAAGCATGTCACTGCCACAGCAGGGACTCGGGGATCTTCAGGGAGACCGGAGGCAGGGGTGACAGCTTAAAGGCTGTTCAAGCAGGACATTTTGGTGGCTTGAAATGAGCCACAGGAGGGAGAAGCCGGCGATGGGCGTGAGGACGCTGCCAAGGTGGGAACGGAGATCGTGGCTGAGGGAAGTGCGAGATTCTGGACAGTAGGAAGGCGGGTGGTGCTAAGAGCAGAAATCCAGAATATGGAAGAGTAGCCGCCGTGGAGGAAAGTCCACCTTAGGCCCGTGAGTGTGACGTCTAGGTCAGCCATCTAAGGAGTAGTTCTCAGTCAGCACAGCTGTGGGGACTGCCGGGCCCGAGCATCAGGGCTGGTGCTGTGGATACGGGGTCGAGCTTGAAGCTGCAGGGTTGCTCCAGAGACTTTCTCCATCAGAGGCCCATCCTCCATGGTGAAGCATCCGTCTGTCTGTCTTCCCTTCTTCTCGCTGCACTGAGAATCTCTATGTGACAGGAGATGTTGCTGATGGGAGTGTGTGACTCACGATGGTGTTGTGGGAGCAGAAAGCCTCCATAGTTAGAGGAGCGCTGGCCTGGTGAGGTAGCCCTTCCTAAGCTGTGTGAGGTGGGAAGTGACCGCATTTGAAGAGTCCTGGAGTCAGGCATCCCTTGTATCCAGACACATCAGGGAAGCTCTCTCCAAAGAAACTGACCTGGACGTGCTGTTACCCTCCTGCTCCCCCCGCTCCACTTCCTCACCCACGTCTCGGGCCAATCTTCCAGGTCCAAGATGGCCCCTCTACCAGCTACCCATCCCTCCTCAGTCACCTGACTTCCATGTACCTGAACACCCCTGTGCTCGCCCTGCCCGTGGCCAAGAGGCAGCCCCCAGGCCCTGCTCTGTGCTCATTTCGTCCTCTGGCCTCCTCTCTGCCCTGTGACTTCCACCTGCTCAACCTGCGGACGCTCCAGGCAGAGGTGAGTGTCCCGCTCAGTGCTGACCCTCGGGGCGGACCCTGCCCTCCTCGCCCAGACTCCTCCCCATCCCAGCCCTGCCTGCCGGGCAGAGGCGCTGCTACACCTGTGAGCCCTGCAGAGACCCCCCCCCCTCTCCCCGCTGCCCTGTGGTCTGTCACCAGGATGATAGCTTGCCCTCAGCCGAAACTGCGCTCCTCTTACACCGCAAGGGTTTTGACTGTGGCCTCGAGGCCAAGAACTTGGGCTTCAACTGCACCACAAGCCAAGGCAAGGTGAGCAGGGCCCAGGTGTGGGAAGGGAGAGGAGGGCAGGGAAACAGAGCACTGGGGATGGCAAGCTAAGAGCTTGGTGAGGCGGCAGTGAGGCTGAGCAGCAAGGGGGGAGGTGGCAGGGTTATTCTGGGGCTTTACGGAGAGCAAGGGAGAAGCTGTTGACATGTGTTTTCAAAGCCTCTGAGGCCTGGCAGGGGCCAGTTCCAGACAAGGTGTCCAGGTGGAGAACTTCTGTTTCATGTGTACGGACCTCTATCAAACAAATGGAAACACCAGGAATTAAAAACTAAAAGCCATCATACTCTGTTCATTGTTTAAGCCAGCAAAGGCTGGCACTGATAAATGCCTCCGTGTGCTGGGCACCAGTGATTCAGAAGTGAATCAAGACATGATCCCTGCTGGGAGTTCCCTGGCGGTCCAGTGGTTAGGACTCAGTGATTTCACTGCCTTGGGCCAGGTTCAATCCCTGGTCGGGGAACTAGGATCCCGTAAACCGCATGGCACGGCCAAAAAAAAGACATGGTCCCTCTCCTCAAAGAGCTAACAGCTCAGTGCAGCAGTTCCTTCCCTAGGATCTGTGGACAGGCTTCAAGGTTGCACAGGCTCACCTATGTATGTAGGCACCTTGCTGCAGAGAGGCCCATAGCTTCTGTGAGATTCATACAAGTTACATAGAAGAAGAGCAGCAGCATCTGGTGTGTCAGCCCCCAGCACTGCCCTGCGCCTTCTCTCCTCCCCACAGGTGGCCCTGGGGAGCCTCTTCCGTGGCTTGGATGTGGTTTTCCTGCAGCCAACCTCCTTGACATTGCTGTACCCCTTGGCCTCGCCCTCCAACAGCACTGACATCTATTTGGAGCCCATGGAGATTGCCACCTTTCGCCTCCGCCTGGGCTAGGGCTTCTTGTGGCCTGAAGAGAAAGTTCATCCACAGAGACGGCCTTTTCACATAAGATCGGGTTGGACATGCCACCCTGGGTCTCCTGTCCTGATCTACCTCTCAGAACTGTGACAGACTGGGCTCTGCCCTCATTTTCTCTTTATCGTTGCTTCTGTGTTCGGGGGCAACCCACAGCCCAGTGTTGGGTGGTTAGGGCAGGCGCCAGTGAGTTGTAGGAGAGAAGGCCCTTGGTCAGAGTGGGTGGTGCCAGCCTCTGCTTTGGGTTGTGCGTGTCCACCTAGTTGGGTGCAGGCTCAAGCACCCATCCTTTCCCCTGAATGGGATGGAGGAGAAGCAGGGGAGCCTGAGTGGGTAATAGCCCAGCGTCAGGGTCACAGTAGGCAAGAGCTGGCTCTCGGGGAGTCCTGTGGTTGTGTAAGGGCTACATGTCCTGGTGTGACAGGCAGGAGCAGAGCGCTGCCAGGAGGAGGGGGCTGGGGACCGCGAGTTAGCAGTGGGGTGGAGGAGTAGCAGGAATCGCTGCTTTCTGTGACGGCTCCACTCTTAGTGCTCCCTGACCCTCACGCCCTGGCCAGGCGCTGCAGTGTGGCAGGAAGGACTCATGAAGACTGTCGTGACCGGAGCTCATGGGACACTTCAGGTACCAAAACCCCATCTCAGACTGGGCACTTGGTCTGTGTGTTGATTTGTGGAATGGTGGCAGAGGCCACCCTACTTGACTCCTCTTTGGTTCCTGCACTCTGTACACCACTGTCCTGAAGAGCTGCTTCCCATCATGGGGGCGTTTGATCGGGCATGTTTCCTTTCCCTGGAAAGAAAGTGAAGCCTCCAGCTTGCGGTGGGCAACTCGAGAAAGCTTTCGTCATCATTCCTACAGTCAGCCCTTAAGCTTCGCCTTGTTCATCCTTCCACAGAAGTATTCACTTCCTGGTGCGGGGACTAGGGAGATGTACACTAAATTAGGAGGCACCGTGGCTGCTCATTAGCCTTCACTGCAGCTTCGATTATTAGAAAAAAATTTATGATAGCCTCTAGAGATGCTGAAACGATATTTGGTAAAATTTAAAATCTATCCCTTATTAAACTCTTAGTAAGTTAAGATTACAAAGAAACATCCTAACCTAGATAAAGGTGTCTCTATCTGAAACCAACAGTCAGTGGCATTCTAAAGAGTCAGATACCACCGGCATTCCCAGTAAAGTCAGAAATTAGTCAAGGACATACTATTATTTAGCTGTGTTCTGGCACTACTAAACCCCTGCAGTGTGGCAGATGAGAGAGATGAGGGAGGGTTACAGAACGCCCAACCTGTACAATCCAGCAGGATCAGCTGAAGACCTTAACAGAGCAAACAAGGCACATCACGTTTCTATAAAGATTCTGGTTCTCTCCAGATCAGCTTATAAATTCAATGTATTCCAGTGAGATTGGATACTTTTTGGAATTTAATGGGTTCTAACATTCATTTGGAAGACTAAATGTGTGAGAATACCAAGAAAATTCTGAATGACAGTGAGTCTGGGGCGGTGGTGCTCAGGTGGGTAAAAGACACTTGTCCTACGAGATTTCCCAGGGGACTCTCGATCGACCGTGAGTTCAGTCAGTGTGACGTGGAGTGGGATCAGACTGCTGGACCCAAAGGGAGAGCCTAGCATCAGACCCAGGTGTGAGGGGATTTGGTACAGGACCCAAGGAGTATTTTAAGTGGGAAAAAGATGGACTATTTAATAAAGAGTACTTTAAGATAACTGCCTATCTATTAAAGTAAGAGTTCTCTACCTCACAGTTTCCACAAAAATTAGCTCTAGAGAGAAAAAACAAAAAAATTACAGAATTACTGAGGAAAATATAGGATATTTTTATACCTTTGGTGTGGGAAGGTCTTTTCTAAACAACATGAAACCTAAAAGATATAATAAGGGAGAAGATAAACAGATTTTACCACCAAAAATATATTGAAAGTTTGCATATGATGGAAACCACCAAGGTTAAAACACAAATGACAGATTTGGGAGAAAATATTTGCAGCACTTCAAAAATTGGTGAGTACAGTTACTTTAGGAGAATAGCTTGCTTTGGGCTCCTTGGAGCAAGTCACTGGGGCCTGCTAAGCAGCGACCTAAAGATTCAGCAGTGACCAGCTGAGTTCTTCCAGGTCATCCAAGGGCATTGCTGCCAGCACCAGGCCAGGGCGCGTGGAATCCTATCTACATCGTAGTGAAAGAATGAAGTTTATCAGTGTGAAGTGCTTAGCACAGTGCCTGGTACATATAAGAGCTCAGTAAATATGAACTATAATCATATTAGTAAAGGATTCTAAGCGGTTACACCATAGCAGGCGTTATTTGCAAGTATAATGTAATTTGTAATCAAATGATAAGGGAGAATCTGTGAACCCCCGAGGAAATTAGCAGAATAAAGGCTGTTCTCTCTGGAGGTCTTAGATGTGCAGTGAAGTTATTCATCTGCCAGGAACTGAAATGTTTACTCCTACACACTGGCCTTTTAGAACTCCATAAGGCAGCATTGCTCAAGGTGTGGTCCAGAATCACCAGAATTCCTTGTTGGAAGTCCAGCTTCCTGGCCTGCCCTGACTGGGGCTCCTCCTTCAGCCCGCAGGCTGAAATGGGCATCTGTGCGGCAGAGCCACGGATCCCGGAGACCGACCTGTAACAAGAGCAAAACCCAAAGCCCTTCCTTAGTGCACGAGAGGAGAGACGGATTCCTTAGCAGAACCTATTGGACCAGTCTCTGGGAGGAGGGGCCAAAGAATCTGCATTCTTAACAAGCTCCCAGGTGAGTCTTCTGCACACGTAATTTGGAAAGGGGCCTACTATTTTAAGGCTAGCGGCAACACTTTCCCACGGGGCTCTGGCCCTGAGGCCTCACAGTTCTGAGGGTTACATCAAAACCGGAACGGGATCCCTTATATATACTTGAGAAAGTGTGTGCAGTTCAGGAAAGTGGATTACTTGTGCTTGATTGAAATTTTTTGAATGTACTTTTCAGCTTCCATTTCTTAAAGGACATTCAATTTTACAGTTATTTAGATCCCATTTGTTGCAAGTATTATTGTCTTATGAACTCTGATAACTGTACCATCTCCATTCTGACAGACTTCCCTTTATGGTATCAAGTAGGAAAAAAGATATCTCTTTTGCCCTTTGTAGAAAAATGCACCTTTCCAGTTCAAAAATGTTTAAAAATTAAATTATGTGTATATGTAATTCAGTTTATAAAATGTGATGTGCAGAAAACTACAGCCTTTGTAGAGACCATAGGCTAAAGTGTTGGTCTGTTTCTTAGATCAATGCCTGGAGTTAAGAATATAAGTAAATTAACCTATAAACCATACTCTGGAATTGGAAAGAACTTAAAAACCATTGTGTCAATGTAATTTGATAATCTGACACACACAATTTCTAATAAGCTACTTTTGAGTGTTTCTTAAAAAAAAAAAAAAAATGAACCAGGGACCTTAGGAGTAAGGGAGAACTCAGGTGGAAAGAGTGAGCCCAGGGGGCAGACACCCTTTGCCCCAAGAGGGCCTGCTTTCAATGCAAGATCCTCTGTTACGTAATACGGAATTTCTCTTCAATTACAAACATGTATGATGTTAGTTCTAGAAGGGCACATAGAGGCCATTTAGTCCAACCCTCTCATTTTACTAATGAGGAACTGAGACCCACAGAGGTTACATGAACTCACCTATGTCAGTGGCAAAGCCAATTAAATGTTCTTTTCAGTATGCAATATCGATACAAGGTTATTGAACAAATCAATTTTCAGTGACATAAAACACATAAAAAAAAAAAAAAAAAGGAACCAGGACATAACAGAAGCAACTTCAGCCACTGGAAATGGATAGGATTCTGTTCCTCTCTGCAACTCTCCATCCATAGAATCATACTGTTTCCATGAAGAAGGGAGGGCTGTATGGCCAGCTGGAACCATGAAGAGAAAGGCAGACTCAAACTGTAAGAGCTGAGTCCCCCCAAGCAGGGTGGGCCAGGCCCACACAGTGCTCTGATTTGGCTTGCCTAGGGGATGGGTATGAGCTGTGTGGAGAGAGTGGCATCTCTACCTGAAATTGACCTGCTTACCACACTCTCTTGTCACTGTGGTTGGCTAATGACACTCATGCCCTCACAGAGAAAGGAAATCATAGTCTGGGTGGTAGGAATGAGGCTAACCATCCAAAAGAGATCTCTGAACTAAATTTTTGTTTCTCCGTAACAAAGATGCGTACAAACACTTCAAGGAGCAATTCTCGTAGAGAAAAAAAAAAGATAGATGAGAGACCAGATCCTTCACAGCAAACCTCAATTTTACTTAGGGTCAGTGGGAAATCTGATTTGATCATAATAGTTGCCAGGACCAAGTGCTGCAGAGTGTCCATCCATTTTGGCTCCTGACTTAGACCTCCCTAGTTGAGAATAAATCTGGAAGGAAAGAACTCTGAAATTCGGTAGCCTAGGCACAGGAAGCCTATGTGGGGTTGGGGATGAGGCCTCCTTGGCATTTGGAACATGACAGGGATGAAGATGTAAGACACAGCGTTGGGTGTGGAGGCCTGAGAAGCTCAGTAGGGGAAAGACAGGTTTTCTTGTCAGAATGCCTGGGGACTTGCATTCAAACTAGATGAGTAAGCACACCTGTACTGCTGCCCCCTCAATTCCTAATGCCTAAGAATGCTAAACAAAATATGAAACATGGAAAAGCAAGGGACTTCCCTGGTGGTCCAGTGGTTAAGACTCCGTGCTCCCAATGCAGGGGGCCTGGGTTTGATCCCTGGTTGGGGAACTGGATCCCCATCGCATGCCGCAACTAAGACCCGGAGCGGCCAAAATAAATATATATATTTTTTAAAATGTAAAAGCATGGTCATACTCAAAACAAGAGGAAATCTCCTTTGACTAAGAATGGAGAGAACAGCTACAGCCATGAACAGAAGACGAGGCCATGCAGCTCCAGAGAAATGGAGACCAGTCGAGGACAGATCCTCGGAGTGGCCAGGAATCTCTTTGTTGTCATTCTAATTCTAGGCTGGAAGTAAACCTTTTGATTCCCAGCCCAGCAAAAGCCAAACTAAGCATACAATTGTGAAGCCCCTTATAATCAGAGAGTTAGGGTAGTAAGGTATTAACATTAATTTCCTGATGTTGATGGTTGTAGTTTGGTTTATGCAGGAGAATTTCTTTGTCCAAATACTAAAATACTTAGGGGTGATAGGCCATCAGGTCAGCAAGTTAATCTCAAATGGTTCAGGTGAAAAAGTTACTTATGTTGTACTTCCAACTTTTCCAAAAGTCTCTGATTATTTTTAAAAATTATTGAATAAAAAAAAAAATCCACTCTATTGGCTCAGTTCAAACAGGTTATCTAGGGAGGCCAGACTCATAATCCAGATCCACTAGCCTCTTCAGACTTGATCTTTACTATGTCCAGTGTGGTTGGAGCTAACCTCAATTGTCATTTTTGTCTGGTTAAAAAGGCCCAGCAGTGTGGCAAAAAGAGAGAGGGATTCTGGTCTGGTTGATCATTAACAAGTCTTCTCACCTCCGAGAGCTTCATATTTCATCTCAGTAAAATGAGAACAATAATCCCTACCCTGCCTATCTCATCTGGTTATTATAAAGAACAGATGAGGTAACACCTGTGAAAAGGTTTTGTAAAACATCAAGCACCTCGTGACCACGAAGTGGCCTTTGACCTAACAACCTCCTCATCCTCACAGATGTACCCTTTTCAAGTGGGCTAACAGGCCCCAGCTGCTCAGCACCGACCAAAAAACCGATCAGTTGGGGATCCCCTCAGGCGGACACCTTGAAAAGCTCCGCCCCCTCGCCCAGATCCCGCCCACCGCCGGGCTCCAAGCGTGGGTCAGTTCCCGGGCCACTTCCCGAAGCGCCCGGAAGTTCCTGTCGCTTAGCAACCAAGGGAACCCGAGATGTGATGAAGGGGAAACTGGGGGTGGGATGCAAACTTCGGCAAGTTTCCGTTGCAACCCGGGGTTTGAGGGACCCGCGGTCCCCCACCGGCCCTATCGTGTTGCTTCTGGGGACTCTGCCGTGCTCAGCAAGAGATGCCAGTAAGCAGGTTGGCACTCCTTTCCAATGTATCTGTCAACCCATCCAACTTTCTTAATGAGGAAGCCTACCAATTTTTGAATACCTGTGTGTCAGGCACGTCACATAATCCAGCCCTGATAATTACACAACCTATCTTACTGATAAGGAAGCCAGTCTCCGAGGGGTTGAGGCCCTCAACCTGAGGGATCTGTCCCAGGGGCACACAGTTGGAACCCTGCCCTACTGAAGGGCAGGTATCCCCCCCTCCCCCCATCGGTTCCCCAATGGGGAGGCTGGAGAAGGAGCAGCAGCAACTCAAACCTTTATCCAAATGTTTTATTTTGCATAATGACTTTTGAACTAGCGTTTGTATATAAGCCCAAGTCCCTGAGGGGCCAGAGATCCCACCATGCAATCAGACCCAAGGCCTGGAGAAGGGCAGTGAATGCATTAGAAATGGGTGGGGCGCATCATCCCACAATCTGGGGCTCAGCTTAGTTGGCAGATCTTCAGAGTGAGAAAGGACACGTGTATTTGGTCTCTAATACCTGGGCTGAGTGAACCAGGGAGGAAGCTCGGGAGGCACCGAAAGGCTGAAGTATGAATCTTCTCTGGCCTGGGCAAGGATGGAGTCTGTGCCACTGGCTGGCTCCAAATACTGCTCAGAGTGTCAGCCCCCGCTCCTTAAACAGCTGCTTTAGAGCGTCTTCCAGCTGTTGGTTTGTCCCCTGAAGCCCCTTCACCACCTGTGCTGCCCACTCGAAGTATTCCTGGACTCGGTGTTCGGACCATCCTGCATAAGAATGGACAGAAAACTGCTCACGTTGACGTCCAGGAAGGCACTGGATTTTGCCCACTTCCTGGAGGGCTTGGTGCAGGGCTGTGAGATGAGTTCCTGATGGACGGATTTGTTCTGAAAACTTCCCCCTTGCCCAGCTACTGCATTTCTAGTGTATGAAAGAAGATCAGAGTGGTCTACTAAGATTAGTCTAGGGAATTAACAAGAACACCCGGGCTTTTTTTCAGGGGAAGTGACCAAGCTGTGCCTTCAGAAGGTGGATACCCCTCCCCTTGCCCTCAGAGCAGGTGGAGGAGCGTACCCTCTGGGGTGCAGCGATTCAGGTCCCTCAGATTGTACAGTTTGTCTGCCAGCTTCACCAGTTTAGCCCCGGGGCTGCTGTGGGGTGCCTGCTCCACCTGCAGCCGCTTTCTCTCCAGCTTGGGCAGAGTCTTGTCATCTGTTACCTCCTCCACCAGACGCCGCACTTGTGCCCCGAAGTGCAGCTCCACCTCATCCAGGGTGGTGTCTGTGTCCTCCACCGTGTCATGGAGCAGGGCTGCCTGGGGACAGGCTCTCACTCAGTCCTGTGACGCCTGCCAAGGGGAACCCAGAGCTGAATGGGGCCCCTGACCCGCACCCCAGCCTCCTAGCAGAGGAGGAAAGTTACCTGTAACACCACAATGTCAGAGATTCCTGCCTCGTGGGTCAGGATACGAGCCACACCTGACGGGGCAAAGCAGGAAGTCAGACAGGAGGGAGTCCCAGGGCGGCGTGTTGTGGGTTTTGTAGAGCCAGATGTGGCTCCTCACTAGCTGGGTGACCTTGGGGAAGTCCTTTACTCTTTTTTGGATGTTCACTGTACAAAGGGAACAATCATGCCTACCGCTCCAGGTTGTGGTGCGTCACGAACAGTGCCTGGCACAAGGACTGGTACGGACTAGGTGCTCGATGAGGTGCACGCCCCCCGGTTCCGTTCCCGGTCCCCACCCCCTAGATGCTACAGCCGTTGCTCCCCCGGCGGCGCGCCCACCGATAGGGTGATTGATGTAGGGGGTCCCTTCGGGGTCCTTCCGCCGCTGCCATTGGTGCTTGCGAGCCGCGAAGTCAGCCGCCTCCAACAGCTGGGCCGCCTCGGAGCCCATCGCGCGGGTGGCGCGGGCGACCTCGGTCCCAGGATCCCGGGGAGCGTGGACCGAGCTTCCACAGCGCCCCCTAGCGCCGCGGAGGCCTGAGGATTGTGGCGTCTGGCCCAGAAGAGTTTCTCTGGGGTTGACGTGAGGGCCCTGGGTGTGGGAAGCTGCCCTCAATATCGCAGCCCCTGGTTAAGTGGGCTTTGCTGATGGTGCAAGAAGAATATGGCCTGGCTCTGGGAACC